TTACTTCTTAGTAAATAAAATTTAACTTTTTTCGTTCTCTATATATATATATATATATATGCTTGCTACATACAATAATTTAAGAAATTCTTATTATAAAGCTTTATGTGAAAAAGCATAAAAAAATAACTTGAATTTTTTTTCGATAATAATTTTGTTAATTTTTTAAAAGATGATTTTATCTTACTCTTAGATATTTTTTATTTAATAAATAAGTAAAAAAATCACAGCTAAATGTTTATGAAAACAATATAAATAACAAGAAACATAAAATGTGAACGCCAAATCTCATGTACAATTGTTATAAAACAATACAAATAATTATACAATTAATAATAAACATATAGATAAAACAAATATCTCCTGACCCTGGGTCATCTTCGGTGCCGCAAATGATCTATAAAAATAAATTATATTCTAATGTAATATATTAATGTAATATATGTTTTAATGTAATATAATGATAAAACCTGATATGAACGACCTGATGTGAGCGTGTTTTAAGTTCATCATGTAATTGCGTTTTAGTTTTTATAGAATTGATAAGTTTTCGTTTAGTTTTTTCTTAGTTTATATTACACTAAACCATATTAAGATATAATTTATTTTTGACTCATTTGCAACATTGAAAATGACTGGATCAGGGTCGAAATGTTCCTTTTAGCTACATGTTTATTATTAATTGTATGATTATTTGTATTATTTTAAAACAATCGCACATGAGATCCGGCATTCATTGTTTCATGCTCCTTGTTATTCGTATTGTTTTAATTTGAAAATTTGTTTTACCACAAGCAAAGTTTTGATATGTCCTGCTCCATTTTTATCCACACTAGATAGTCCTTGGCCCTCAATGCATGATTCAATACGTTCAGAGATGGATTTAATTTTGGGTATAACCAAAGCTTTAATTACTTCCGGACCTAATTCACAAAGTCCTTCAATTGCTCCATATAGAGATGCCAATGGTGTCTATAAGAAATAATTTTATAAAACTTCTCAACTTCTTGATCTGTTATTTTTAAATTATTTTTCATTTAATAATTTTTTCTGTATTATTTATATGGCTATTACCTGACTATTCTTTGCCAACGCTTTACTAAACATGCGAGTAACTCTAGTTTGTACATTATTCGTGGACGTGTTAAAATTTTTACATATCTGCGCCATTAATCGAGAAGCAAAGTCTCGTAATGCCCAATGATTATCTACCTCCGGTCTCATACACAATTGTCGAGAAACTATGCAAGTTGCAACCGATGGTATCAGTTCGTGAAGCTAAAAATTGAAATATTCCATCAAAATAGAATCACACAACAAATTCATTAAACATCAAAGAAAATAAAAAGTAAAGTTTACATATTTCTCCAAATAAAGACTTGGATTATCAAGCAGTGCTTTAACCATCCGCATGAGATAAATGAGTAATGCGAGATGATTCTGCACGACGTTGACCCGTACACCTTCTGCGATGAATGTACACATACGTGCCAGCATCTCATGCAGACCCGGATCCGCTGAAAGTGATTGAAGAGCTTCGGCTCTGCGACCTTCGTCAGATCCAACACAAGCTTCAGTTATTTCTTTGTAGTATAATTGCTGTTCTACGCTGAGCTCGTGTGTTGCAAGTTGCTTTACATGAACTGTTTCCACATTTCGTAATTTTTGACTTTTGCCACCACCACCCGGTTTACCAACGCCAATGTTCTGATTTTTACTGGAGAGTTTAGTAGTTGGATCAACGCTCTCCAATTTCTGGGCATCTATTAAAAATTAAGAAGTTGAAAATCAAGACTACATATGAATTGTATCTGAATGTCTTAATTTAAAAAAATTTTTTTAATAACTTCAGAAAATATGAAAAACTTTTTATTATATTCTGTAAGAATAAAAAAATCAGAAACCTTTTGATACTGGCGGTGGATTCTCTGGTATAGTAGGTTGCACTCCGTCAATGCATAGCCAATGGGCTCGCAATGTAACTTCCAAAGGTAGCTTTGGCCAAGATTGTCCACCAGCTGTAGCTACAACCTCATTAAGATCAATTTCTTTCTCTTCTACAAAATGCAATTCTCTACCGCCACCTGATGCAAAACGAAATGGTATGTAATCCTTGGCGAAAAATCCATATGTTGGCTCAATATTCTTAATTTTCAGTGCATGATCTATGTCATGTGCAGTCATGCGTTGGCGTTTTCCATGACGCATAAA